AAACTATAGACTTAGTATTTTGACTTCACAAACATCTAATTTGAACCAGTGTTGCATTCAACATACCATATAAAAACACAAAAATTAATGTTTTTTAACATTTACTTTTAAATTAACAAACTGAGTAATGTATAGTTCTAAAATTTGAATTATAATCTACAGTTTGATACCAAACTTATTAACATAAATTCATGAAATAGTAGTTCAATAAAATTTTGAATGTCAGTCAACAAACGAGATAACATGGCCTTTCACCTGTAAACCATATAGAAAGGTTTAATTTCTCAATTAAGAATTCTGCAAATATACTGTGACTTAGAAATTTATGGCATGCTAAAACAGCTTCAAGACATTGCCAAAAAAAGCATGTTCAATGGGTCCTAATTGTACAAAACTTCATTTTGTTTTATTAAACATCACTGAGTTTATTACACATATATTAAATACTATTCTTGAGATGTATATCACTTGCAAAAAAAAATCACATTTTAGTTTTAAAGCAGAATAATTTATGCTTCTGTAATTAATCTATTTAATACAAATGTGTAAAAAACTCAATTGAATACATTATCTATATTTAACACCCTATTCCTTTTAATTCAACTTGCTAACATAAAACTAATAATAGTTAGTTTTGTACAAACTCCTTACTTTCTCATTTGCTCCATGCGAGCTTGCAGCCTTTTATGTGCTGGACTTACTCTCCACACCATCTTCAGATGCTCATCTCTCTTCTTTTTGATGATGTCACGCAAAAGTCCTTGAAGTTTGTCATATTCATCATCCCAGGTGGTAAACACGTCAAAACAGGCAGTCATCACCTACATAGTTCAGGTTCAAAAAACGTTATTTCAAGAAAACTAATAATAAGTAAGATAATTATAGAACTTGTCATTGCTAAAAAAAATTAACACACTTTATTACAGAAATTAAAACTAACAATTAAAAGAACGATAGATATAATGTTGTAAAAAAGGTGTACAATAGTCAGTTTTGTCATGATTAAAATGTTGTAAAAAAGGTGTACAATAGTCAGTTTTGTCATGATTAAAATGTTGTAAAAAAGGAGTACAATAGTCAGTTTTGTCATGATTAAAATGTTGTAAAAAAGGTGTACAATAGTCAGTTTTGTCATGATTAAAATGTTGTAAAAAAGGTGTACAATAGTCAGTTTTGTCATGATTAAAATGTTGTAAAAAAG